TTCTGTGCATAACCATCTGTATCTGTGTTAAACATGGGCTTTACTGGTGTATCCAACTGATCCATTACCACATGGATCATTCTAACCTCCTACTGTTGCTTATCTGTAAACTCCCACTCCAACAGTGAGAAACCTGGCTCCCACTATCTGCCATCCATTTACTTAATTCTTCAGTGCTAGTATACATGCATTGCAGTATCAAAATTGTTAGCCAATACCCCCATAGGAAACAACTTTATCCACCAGAGTACAGCGCTTGTGTCATTTCCTTTGCTTTTAGTCTTACAGGCTTCACTCATTTCCTAGGTTACTTAGGGCAGTACCTTTTCCTCCCTCCAAACCCTTCAGTGAGGTTGTTTCATACATTTGTAATATAGCTAGGTGGTTTTGTAGTGATTTTAATACAGTGCTTTAAATGCTTTGAGAGAGATTAACACAGGGGAATACTGAAGTGGAACAACCAATCCAGTTGGAGGATGGGGTAGGGATGGAAGGCATCTTAGAGGAACCTCACTGTGGCCTGATATATATCTTAAAGTTGCTCTTAAAGTGTGGTCTGTGGACCACAAGTATTAGCATCACCTCAGTAACTTACGGAAATACAAATTCTTGGCCTTCGCTACAGAATCAGAAAATCTGTATTGGGGTCCAGCAATCTTTTTTAATAAGCCCCACAGTAGATTCTACAGAACACTGAGAAATTGGTGTCTTAAAGAATGAGTTCAGTGAGGTTAGCTTGGTGAAAGGAGAGGAATGCATTCCAGGAAGAGGAGGTTGCTGTGAGCCTAAGCTTAGAGAACGCAAGTAGCATGATGGGCTTAAAGGGTTAAAATAAAATGTTTGAAGCAGGAAATGACTGGAGAGGTCAGCAGCTCCTGGCTGTACCAGGGACGGTTTAAGCTAATGAGCTTAACTTCATTCTGTAGGCCACAGGAAGCCACTGAAGAGTTTTTTTTTGTTAATAGCTTTCTTGAGGTACAATTCACATAATATATATATTCACTCATTTAAAGTGTACAATTTAATAATTTTTGGTATATTCACAGAGTAGTTTTAGAACATTTTCATCACCCCAAAGTGAAATTTCTTCCCATTAGCTCTCACTATTCCCAGTCCCTGAATCCTCCAGCCCCAGCTCCTGGCAACAACTAATCTACTTTCTTTCTTTATGAATTTTCCTATTCTAGACATTTCATATAAACGGAATCATAAAATGTGTGGCCTTTTGTGACTGGCTTATTATTTCATGTAGCAAAATGTTTTCAAGGTTCATTCATGTAGCATGAGTCAGTTATTTCATTCTTTTTATTGCTGCATAATATTCAATTGTAAGGCTATATCATATTTTTTATCATTCATCAGTTGATGGACATTTATGTTATTTCCTCTTTTGGCTTTATGAATAATACTGCTATGAATATTCATGTACAGGATTTTCTGTGGACAAGGGTTTTCATTTCTCCTGGGTGTGTACCTGGGAGTAGAATTCTTAGATCACATGGTAACTCTAGATGTTATTTGTTGAGGAATTGACAGGCTCATTTCCAAAGCAGCTGCACCATTTTACATTCCCACCAACAAAGTTATGAGAGTTCCAAATTTTTCCACGCTTGGTATTTTCTCACTTTTTGATTATAGCCACCTTTAATGGGTATGAAGTGGTATCTCATTGTGGTTTGGGTTTGCATTTTCTTGATGACTAATGATATTGAACGTCTTTTCATGTGCTTATTGGCTATCTGCATATCTTCTTTAGAGAAATGTCTATTCAGATCCTTTGCTCATTTTTAATTGGTTGTCTTTTAATTACTGAGTTGTAAGAGTTCTATATATATTCTGGGTACAAATCCTTTATCAGAAACATGATTTTCCCCCATTCCTTGGGTTGTCTTTCTACTTTCTTGATGGTATCCTTTGAAGCACAAAAGTTTTTAATGTTGATTAAGCCCAATTTATTTGTACCTTTGGTTGCTTGTGGGTTTGGCATATCTAAGAAAAACCATTGCCACCCTAGCCAGTTTGGCTCAATGGTTAGAGTGTTGGCCCTCAGACTGAAGGATCCTGAGTTTGATTCCGGCCAAGGGCACGTACCTCGGTTGCAGTCTCGATCCCTGGCCCCGATCAGGGCATGTACAGGAGGCAACCAATCGATGTGTCTCTCTCACATCTATGTTTCTCTCCCGCCTCTTGCCTCCCCCCTCTCTCTCTACTCCCCCTCCACTGTCTTTGAAAAGCAATGGAAAAAATATTCTCCAGTGAAGATTTTAAAAAAAGGATTAAAAATAATAATAAAAAAATTAAATATAAATGAAACAATTTTAGAAAAAAGAAACCATTGCTAAGTCCACGGTCATGAAGATCTGTACCTATATTTTCTTTTCTATTATACATCTCTATATATTTTTTCATCAACATTTATCCCCCCTAAACCCTCTTCCACCACCACCCACCTCCCTACCCCTGCAACCACCACCATGTTGTCCGTGTCCATGAGTTCTCTCTCTTTTTTTCTCAATCCCTCCACCACCACCCCCAACACCCTCCACCAGAGCTATTTGCCTGCTCTCTCTGAGTCTGTCGCTATTTTGCTTGGTAGTTCAGTTTTTTCATTAAATTCCTCATATGAATGAAAACATATGGTACTTGTCTTTCTTTCTTTGACTGGCTTATTTCAATTAGCATAATGTTCTCCAGGTCCATCCATGCTGTCACAAAGGGTAAAATTTTCTTCCTTTTTATAGCTGAGTAGTAGTCCATTGTGTAAATGTACCAAAGTTGCTTTATCCATTCACCTACTGATGGACGCTTGGGCTGCTTCCAAATCTTGGCTGTTGTAAATAATGCTGCTGTGAACATAGAAGTGCATACATTCTTTCTGATTGGTGTTTTGGGATTCTTAGGATATATTCCCAGAAGTGGAATCACTGGGTCAAAAGGCAGTTCCATTTTTAATTTTTTGAGGTAACTTCATATTGTTTTCCACAGTGGCTGCACCAATCTGCATTCCCACCAACAATGCACAAGGGTTCCCTTTTCTCCACATCCTCACCAACACTTGTTTGTTGATTTGTTGATGATAGCCATTCTGACAGGTGTGAGGTGGTATCTCACTGTGGTTTTAATTTGCATTTCTCTGATGATTAGTGACGTTGAGCATCTTTTCATATGTTTATTGGCCATCTGTATGTGCTCTTTGGAGAAGTGTCTAAAACAGGATCTTTGCCCATTTTTAAAATTGGGTTGTTTTTTTGGTGTTGAGTTTTATAAGTTCTTTATAAATTTTGGATATTAATCCCTTATCAGATGTATTGGTGAATATGTTCTTTCATTCATTGGGTTGTCTTTTCCATGCCTATATTTTCTTTTAATAGTTTTGTAGACTTAGTTCTTATATTTAGGTCTTTGATCCATTTTGAATTAATTTTGTGTATAGTGTGAGGTAGAGGACATATTTCATTCCTTTGCACATGGATATCCAGTTTGTTTGTTTTTGTTTGTTGTCCTTTGTTAATCCTCATCTGTGGATATTTTTTCCATTGATTTTTAGAGAGAGTGGAAGGGAAGTAGGGAGGGAGGGAGAGAAACATCAATGTGAGAAAGGCACATTGGTTGCCTCCCACACATGCCGCCCCCAACCGGGGCCAGGGATTAAACCTCCAACCCAGGTATCTGCCCTTGACAGGGAATCAGACTTATGACCCTTTGTTGTGTAGGCCATTGCTCTAACCACTGCACAACACTTGCCAGGGCATGGATATCAAGTTTAAATAACTATTCTTTCCTCACTGAATTGATTTGGCATCTTTTTAAAATCAGTTGACTGTAAACCACTGAAGAATTTTAAGCAGAGTGACATGATTTATATTTTAAGACCATATCGCTGGCTGCTATGTAGAGAATGTGTTAGAGCGGTCAAGAGTATATGTAGGAAGACCAGTGAGTAAGAAGTTGTAGTTATCCAGACCAGAGATGATTGTGACTTGGACCATAGTAGTGGTAGTGGAGATGCAGAGAAAGACACTGGTTATATTTGGGAAATAAAGTTAATTGGACTGGGGACTGTCTGGCTAGGGGGTTAAAAAGAGGGGAGAGGTCAAGGATGACTTATATTTGGATTGGAGTGAAGGATGATCTTCAGATTTCTGGCTTGTATGGCTAAGTGGATGGTAGTGTCATTTACTACCACAGAAATGGAGAAGTGTATTTTTAGAGAGGAAATAATGATTTTAATTTGGGGTTAATTGAATTTGAGGTACCTGTTAGACTTTCAAGTGGAGATGTCCAGTTGGAATATGGGTCTAGACAAGAGCTTGGGGGCAAGCGCTGGGTTGGAGAGAGTGACTTGGGAGTCATGAGCACAAAGGTGGGAGTGGAAGCTCCAGCAGAGCCTGAGGAGAGTAAAAGGAGTGAGAAGAGGGCCCAGGACTGAACCTTCTTGGTGGAAGAACAGGAACCCAAGGATACAGAGAAGAAATGGCCAGGGATTGGTGGTGGTGGTGAACCAGAAGGAATTTATCAGAACCCAGTGAAAGGAGGGAATTTTAAGGAGGGAAGTGATCAGTCCTGTCAGATGCATCACAGAGGTCCAGAAAAATGTGGCCTGAGAAGTATCCATGTATCTTTCCTGTTTCCATGCTCCCACAAATATAGGTTGGTTGGTTGATTTTACAAAAAGTATCACTCCGTACTTCTTATGGGTGGCATTTTTTTTTTTTTTAATGCTGTGGAACCAATAACCTTTGCACATACATTTCCCACTACTAGTGCCTGAAGGTGTTGCTGGCAGTGTGTGGTGGATATTTGTGTTTTAAGTGATGCCAGCTTTCATTGGCATCTTCTGTGCTAAATCTTTCCCATCCTGACTTGAGGATATTAAAAGCCCAAGTGCAGTTTCAATTCCAAAATGGACTCTAAAGTGTTCTTAGACTGAATGTTCAAACTGTTTCCTTTCTTTCTAATTTTAATATATATCTTTTTTTAAACCTTTTTTTAAAAAATAGATATGTGAAAGAGGCCAAAGAAGCAACTAAAAATGGAGATCTGGAAGAAGCATTTAAACTTTTCAGTTTGGCAAAGGACATTTTTCCCAATGAAAAGTTGATGAGCAGAATCCAAAAACTACAGGAAGCCTTGGAGGAGTTGGCAGATCATGGAGATGATGAATTCACAGATGTGTGCAACTCTGGCCTGCTGCTTTATCGAGAACTGCACAACCAACTATTTGAGCACCAGAAGGAAGGCGTAGCTTTCTTATATAGCCTATATAGGGATGGAAGAAAAGGTGGTATTTTGGCAGATGATATGGGATTAGGGAAGACTGTTCAAATCATTGCTTTCCTTTCTGGTATGTTTGATGCTTCATTTGTGAATCATGTGCTGCTGATCATGCCAACCAGTCTTATTAGCACATGGGTAAAAGAATTTGTCAAGTGGACTCCAGGAATGAGAGTCAAAACCTTTCATGGTCCTAGTAAGGATGAACGTGCCAGAAACCTCAGTCGGATTCAGCAAAGGAATGGTGTAATTATCACTACATACCAAATGTTAATCAATAATTGGCAGCAACTTTCAACCTTGAATGGCCAAGAGTTTTTGTGGGACTATGTCATCCTTGATGAAGCACATAAAATAAAATCTTCATCTACTAAGTCAGCAATATGTGCTCGTGCTATCCCTGCCAGTAATCGCATCCTCCTCACAGGAACCCCAATCCAGAATAATTTACAAGAACTGTGGTCCCTGTTTGATTTTGCTTGTCAAGGGTCCCTGCTAGGAACATTAAAAACTTTTAAAATAGAGTATGAAAATCCTATTACTAGAGCAAGAGAGAAGGATGCTACTCCAGGGGAAAAAGCCTTGGGACTGAAAATATCTGAAAACTTAATGGCAATCATAAAACCCTATTTTCTCAGGAGGACTAAAGAAGAGGTACAGATGAAAAAGTCAAGCAAGTCAGAGGTCAGACTTAGTGAAAAGAATCCAGATGTTGATGCCAGTTATGAAATGCCTTCTCTTCCCAGGAAAAATGATTTAATTATTTGGATACGTCTTGTACCTTTACAAGAAGAAATATACAGGAAATTTGTGTCTCTAGATCATATCAAGGAGTTGTTAATGGAGACACGCTCACCTTTGGCTGAGCTAGGTGTCTTAAAGAAGCTGTGTGATCATCCTAGGCTGCTCTCTGCAAGGGCTTGTCATTTGCTGAATCTAGGGGCTGTCATATTCTCTGTTCAAGATGAAAATGAAGGGAAAGATTCCTCAGATGTGGACCATATTCATATTGATCAAATAACTGATGATACACTGATGAAAGAATCTGGAAAAATGATTTTTCTAATGGACCTGCTTAAGAGACTGCGAGATGAGGGGCATCAGACTCTGGTGTTTTCCCAGTCAAGACAAATTCTAAACATCATTGAACGCCTCCTAAAGAATAGGCACTTTAAAACATTGCGAATTGATGGAACAATTACTCATCTTGTGGAACGAGAAAAAAGAATTAACTTATTCCAGCAAAATAAAGATTACTCTGTCTTTCTGCTTACCACTCAAGTAGGTGGTGTTGGCTTAACATTAACTGCAGCAACTAGAGTGGTCATTTTTGACCCTAGCTGGAATCCTGCAACTGATGCTCAAGCTGTGGATAGAGTTCACCGAATTGGACAAAAAGAAAATGTTGTGGTTTATAGGCTAATCACTTGTGGAACTGTAGAGGAAAAAATATACAGAAGACAGGTTTTCAAGGAGTCATTAGTAAGACAAACTACTGGTGATAAGAAGAACCCTTTCCGATATTTTAGTAAACAAGAATTAAGAGAGCTCTTCACAATACAGGATTTTCAGAACTCTGTAACCCAGCTGCAGCTTCAGTCTTTGCATGCTGCTCAGAGAAGATCTGATAAGAAACTAGATGAACATATTGCCTACCTGCACTCTTTGGGGATAGCTGGAATCTCAGACCATGATTTGATGTACACACATGATCTATCTGTTAAAGAAGAGCTTGATGTGATAGAAGAATCTCACTATATTCAACAAAGGGTTCAGAAAGCTCAGTTCCTTGTTGAATTTGAGTCTCAAAATACAGAGCTATTAATGGTAAGACAAAGAACTAGAAATGAGGGGATCTGTCTGAGAGAACCTTTATTTCCTTCTCAAACAAAGGAGAAATACCCTGAAGTGAATAAACCACAGCCTCAGCTTTCACCTCTTCTAACTACTCATCATACCCAGGAAGAAGAAATCAGTTCCCAAATGGCAAGTGTAATCATTGATGATCTCAAAGAGAATGAGAAATACTGTCTTTCCAGTGCAAAGACGAACGTTACCATTGTACAGGATGGTAGACACCCACATGAATGCACATTTGATGCTGACTTTGTAGGTACTTTACCCAAAGGGTGTGGAAGTGTAGAAGAAATCTGGACCAACTCTTTATTGGGAATAGATCTACAAAAAGAGGCATCACAAGAGGGGCCTACACAGGAGGCATTGCAAGAGAACCCTTTGGGAAGTTTTAATTATTTACTTAGCAAATCTGTCAGAGCTGATCTTGGGCCAAATATAGATGAACTAAAGAATGATGAAAGTTTACATCAGTGTAATCCCTGGCCCACTAATCCCATAACAAATGAAAATCAAAATACAGAATCAAATGCATCTATTATTAAAATAGCTGATGATAACTTGTCAGCTTCCCACAGTGCACTACAGGATGCTCAAGTAAATGAGGCCAGGTTGGAAGAGGAACCTTTAGCATCTTCACCACAGTATGTGTGTGATTTCAATCTTTTCTTGGAAGACTCTGCAGACAATGGACAACATCTTTCCAGTCAGTCTTTGGAGCATGTTGAGAAAGAAAATAGCTTGTGTGGCTCTGCAGCTAATTGTAGAGCAGAGTTTGTGCATAGCAAAGCAGGTCTCAGTATGGATCTTTCTGAAAAAGATGATGAGTCAGAAGTAGTTAATGTGAGAGTCAAAAGTAAAAGTAGAAGGATTGTTTCAGATGATGAAGATGAACATTATACTTCTAAAGATACTTCAAGCACAAATCCATTCAGCACATCTCCTTTTCAGTTATCTATAAAACAATTTGATGCTTCAACTCCCAAAAATGACATCAGTCCACGTGGAAGGTTTTTTTCACCTAAAATACCTGATAGTATAAATAAGTCTATAAACTCTAGAAGATCCCTGGCTTCTAGGAGGTCTTTTATTAATATGGTTTTAGACCATGTGGAGGATATGGAGGAAAGACTTGAAAACAGCAGTGAAGCAAAAGTAGCTGAAGGTACTCTGGAGGAAGGAGCCGAGAAAAGCGGTGGCGAAGCCTCAGAGTGTACAGAAGAGGAACCTTCCAGAGAAACCTTGTCTTCAGAAAATAAGTCCAGCTGGTTAACCACACCCAAGTCTGGTGCTCTAGCTCAGGAGACCTCTCCTGGTGACCCTGGGCCTTTGTCTGGTGGACAATTGGTTGATTTTCCTCAGGATAAGGCAATGGAGACTGTGAATGACTATGAGACTCTTGTAATGCATGGAAAAGCACTGAAAGAATGTGGGAAAATACAGGAGGCCTTAAACTGTTTAGTTAAAGCACTTGACATAAAAAGTGCAGATCCTGAAGTCATGCTCATGACTTTAAGTTTGTATAAGCAACTTAATACAACTTGAGAATATAACCTGTTTATTGTATTGTAAAGCGAAACTGAGTATGAGATAATTTGTTATGATTGGATTTTTGGGGATCATGAAACATTCAGCTTAAGGTGAGAGGTCTCAAAACGCAAGTTTTTGTTTCTAACTTTTTTGTAAATTCTTCCTTTACCCCCTTCTGCCCTCCCAATACGTATATTCTGGTATTCTTTGAGGCACACTCTATAAACTTAATAGAACTATATTATTTCTAGAAAAATTTTTGTGAAATTATTCTGGCCATTGTAAATTTTATTCTGAAAGTGATCACTTTTGTATATCACAGTAAAGATTATTAAAGTTACTTTCTCAAGTGTCTTCCATTCACTTTCTTTCACTGAGATCATTCTGGCAAATGCATATACAAACTCCTAAGTTTAGGCCGGAGGTTGCCATTAATACTACAAATCTAAGACCTGCTATTTTATGCTCTTAGCTTACTATAGCAGAAAGCTGGGTGCTAGGCTTTTTTTTTATCACTGGTACTCTGCCCTAGAGTCACTTCCTGACCACTTAGGAATTCTTCCTTCACCACCAGCTGTGTTCTGACATATGCTAGCACATTGTATCTTTGGGGTGTAGACTGAAAAGGAGTTTGGTTCCTTCTCAGGAACAAAGTGCAGTATAGTGCATTCTGCACTTGGTCACTGGAGCAGAACTAGCATTTATCAAGTACCTACTGTGTATTGGGTACTCTACATACGTTTCTTGTTTCATCTTTACCGTAATCTTTGAGGTTGAGGGTGGCATTTCCATTTTTTAGTTGAGGAAACAGACTCAGTGAGGCTGTGACCTGCCCAAGGTCACATAGTAAAGGGTGAAATGGATTTTTAACTGTGTGTAACCTAGTGAAAAGCCATATAATATATATTATAGCCACTATAATATGTGAACTGGTTTTACTTACCAAATGTATGGGAGTTTTCACACCAACTAGTTCTCCAATTCTCTGCAGACACCAACTGGGTGTCCTACCATTCACCTCAATTCTGACATTACTTGGAGTTAGGTTCATACTCCACAGGTTTAAGGGCACATTCCCATAAAACTGCCCTCATTTCAGATGCCAGTTGCTAGTATTAGGTCTTCACATTATCTACATTTCTGTCCAACTTGGCTACAAACAGGGTTCCTGTTACTGCTCCTTCAGGTTCAGTAATTTATTAGAACAGCTCACAGAACTCAGGAAAACAGTTTACTTATTATTACTCTTTTTTTAAAAAAAAAAATAATACAACTCCAGAACAGCCAAATGGAAGAGATATATGGGGCAAGGTATGGGGGCTGGGGTGGGTAGGTGAAGTGTCCATTCCTTCTGGACACACACACACTCAGCACCTTGATGTGTTTACCAACCCTAAGCTTTAGCGGTTTTTATGGAGGCTTCATTAAGTAGGCATGATTATTTAAATCAGTGGCCATTGGTGATTAACTCAATCTCTAGCCCCTCACCTCATCCCAGAGGCCAGCAGAAGGGGCTACAACTTCCAACCCTCTAATTTTGTCTTGGTCTTCTTAGTTACCAGTCCCTATCTGAAGCAATTTAGGAACCCCCCAGCCACCAGTCATCTTAGCATACCAAAGACAATCCAGATTCCAAGGGTTTAGGATGTGTGTGCGAGGACCCAGGGACAAAGACCACTTATTTTTTATGCCACATACACATATATAAAAGTTACTTGTAAATTATATGTATATACTGTTAAAAAACAAAT